ATTGAAATAGCTAACAGACATTTTCCAAAAGATGTTCAGACTCCCTAGCTGTCAGGGAGATTCAAATGAAACCCACATTGAGGTTCCAACTCCAGTGAAGTTGGCTTACATTCAGAACTCTACTAACAACACCTGCTGGTGTGCTTGTGTGGAGAAAGGTGCCCTCCTTTACTGCTGGTGGAAGTATAGGTTAGTACAACCACTACTGAAATCAGTATGGAGAAAGCTTAGAGAACTCCAAACAAACCTGCCACATGAACCTGCTGTCCCACTGCCAGGAATGCATCCACAGGAAATGAAAACTGCCTATGAGAAAGGGATCTGTAATCACACATCTAGAGCAGCAGAATCTACAATAGCAAAAAACATGGAACCAACCAACCCAGGTGCCCACCCAAATAGGAGTGGTTAAAGGAACTGTGGTGCATCTATTCCACAGAATGCTGCTCAGCCATTAAAAATAATGAAATTATACCATTTGCAACCAGATGGTCCCAACTAGAAACCATTATGCTCAGTGAAATAAGCCAATCCCCAAAGGACAAATATCATGTTTTCTCTGATATAAGGCAGCTTTCACGCAAATTGTAAAATCATTAACCCTTTCCATTTTGTTTTTGCTGCAACCCATGGGTTTTGATATATTTGTTTTTATATTCATTTCTTCCAAATAGCTTCTTTTGTCAACTTCTCCACTGACTTGTAGATCCCACAGTAACATCACTTTACCCAAGAAGCTTTGGTGTTTTCTTTTTCATTTCTTTATTGATCTTAATTGTACCATAAAATTCAAAATTAAAAAAAGGAAAAAAAGATTTATTCATCTCTCCTGGAAAGTCAGATTTAGAGAGAAGGAGTTACAGAGAGGAAGACCCTCCATCCCCTGGTTCATTCCCCAAGTGACTGCAACGGCCAGAGCTGAGCTGATCCAAAGCCAGGAGCCTCCTCCAGGTCGCCCACTTGGGTGCAGGATCTCAAGGTTCTGGCCATACTCTACTGCCTTCACAAGCCACAAGCAGAGATCACTAGGGAAGTGGAGCAGCCAGAACATGAACCAGAGCCCACGCGGGATCCTGGAGCATTCAAGGCAAGGACTTCAGCCACTAGGCTACCATACCAGGCCCTGTAAAGCTTTTCTTAAGAATGTATTATTCAAAATTCAAGTGTACTTAAAGCATAAGTTAGTGGTGAAATTAGTGCTGTTTATCAGTCATATGGCTTTCATCACAAGATACCATGGCAAGGTGACTAGGACAGATATTTATTTGTGCAGACTTTTGGATGTATGTCTGTGATCAGAGGACCTGCAGGGCCCGGGACTTACAACGTGCTTTTCCTGCCATGTTGATGGCTATATCTCCCTGTGTTCTCAATCATCCAGGAAAGAACTCTGGTGTCTTTTCCCCTTCAAAGGGCACCAGTCCTGTGGGCCAGGGACTTCACTCTCATGATCTCATTCAACTTCACTCAAGTGCTTCAACATCCTATAGGTGCTTTCTGGAGACACAATTCATTCTTTAATAGTGTATGTGAAACTGTGCATGTCACAAAATGGGATGCTAGGAGCACTTACCAGCCCCTTTCTAACAAAATCTCCTCTTTCTTGGAGTTGGCTCTTTTCCTAATTTCTGTCACTTTTCTTGTCTTCATATATATATATTTTTCTTAATGTGCATCTATGGGGTGATTTGAATGTGTTCCTAAAAAAATCCATGTGTTGGAGATTTAATCTGCTAATTTCTGTTATGAGTTTGGAGGTGAGGCCTTGGGCAGGTGACTAAGATTCCATGAGGTCATGATGCTGAGGCCCATGATGGCGCTTCTTCACTAGAAGAAGGCGAGAGACCTGAGCCAGCACAGCTGCTCTGTCTTGCACATCATGATGCGGCAATGAGACCCTCACCAGAGGCTGGGGAGACGCTGGTGCCATGCTTCTGGGCTTCTGAGCCTCCAGAACCAGCAGCTAAATGCTCTCCCTTTATCAATTATCAAGTTTCTCATAGTAAGAAGCCTGAAACATTACAGCTTTACTCGATTTTAAATTTTGAATGGAATGGTCCTTGTGCAATCCCTTGCGTCTGGTCTTTGTTGTTGTTAAGAATTGACCTTTTTCTTGCGCAGAGCTATAGTTGACTCCTCCCATTGCTGAACATTATCCCACTTTAGAATAGAACAGGAATGTCCAACGTGCTCCAGACCTATGAAGATTTGGGTTGTTTTCAGGATTGGATTCGTATCCACATTGATCGTGCTCCTCCTTGTATGTGTAGTCTGGGGCCACACGCACATATTCCTGTCAAGTGTAGGTGTGCAAGATCACTAGAGAACTAGAGAAGCACAGAGTATGAGCTGTCACTCTTACTGGATCATGTCCATCGCTTTCCAAACATTTCTGCATTCATACACACATCTAGTGGTGCGTGAGTTTTGCTTGCTGTTTCTGGATACGTGGCACTAGTGCCCACCCGCCCCCCCCCCCACTAGAGTGAGAGAAGGAGAAAATTTCCCAGTCTGAGCCTGATTTGCTTCTTCTGGATTAAAATAGTTAAGAATACTTGGTTGTGCTTCCTGGCTGTTTGGATTTTGACTTTTGTGACTCCCTCCCATTTGATGGTAGAGATTCTGATTCTTATCCACCTTTAAGAGCTATGCCTTACAGGTGTCTCCAGTTTCTTGAGCTTGTCCTTTGAGGAGCAGAAGTCCTCAAATTTAGTATCCTAAAATGTGCCTGTCTTTTCCCCTATGATTCTTGTGTCACATGTAGTAAAGCTTTTTCTATCCTGAAATTTAGCTTTGCTTTTTTTCCGTCTAAGGAAAACCAGCTGTTAGTAGCTGGAATTGATTCCTGAGTGTGGTGCCAAGTTGGATACGATAAAATTTCCCCACTGACATTCCTACTTCTCCAGCACTGCTTGCTGAAGTGGGTTTCTCCTCTCTCCCTCTGGGGCCATTGTCACCACAGATGAGATGTCTGCCCCTGCTCTGGGCTGTCTTGGGCTGTTAGAACAATGGCGCACTCCTTCAGTGCTTGGAGCTTCAGAGCAAATCACAACATCTAGAACAGTGACTTCTCCCACCTCTTTCTCTCCTCAAAAATGTCTTGAGTGTAATTTGCTCTTTGCATTCTCATTTACATTTTGGAACCAGTTTGTCAAGTAATACAATGAAAGCCTGTTGAGATATGGGTTGGAAATTACATAAAATTTATTAGCCATCTGGAGAAGTTTTTACAATATTGAGGCTTTGGTTGCAAGAACATAACGTTATCACCCCATTTATTGCAGATTCTAACAATTTTACTCAATACCTTCTATAATTATGTTTATAGAGATCTTAGTTATATTTCAATAATTTCATTGCTAGATACTTGATATCTTTAAGTGCTAGCATAATATTATAAGTGGCAGCAGTGATATTTTTGAAAAAAATCCTATTTGGGGCCTGGCGCGGTGGCGCAAGTGGTTAAAGGTCCTCGCCTTGCATGCCCGGGATCCCATATGGGCGCCGGTTCTAATCCCGGCAGCCCCGCTTCCCTTCCAGCTCCCTGCCTGTGGCCCGGGAAAGCAGTCGAGGACGGCCCAAGGCTTTGGGACCCTGCACCCACGTGGGAGACCCGGAAGAGGCTCCTGGCTTCGGACTGGCATAGTATCGGCCCGTTGCGCTCACTTGGGGAGTGAATCATCGGACGGAAGATCTTCCTCTCTGTCTCTCCTCTCTGTATATCTGCCTTTCCAATAAAAAATAATAAAAATAAATCTTTAAAAAAATCCTATTTGCTGATGCTAGATATGCAATTGATATATATATATATATATATATTAATCTCCACCAAAACACCTTGCCATACTCTCACTAATTCTAATAGCTTATCTTTAGAGTCTGTTGGATATTTTATGTCCTCAAGATTATTAGTTGTAAATTAGAGCACCTTTTTACCTTTTCTTATATTTATACCTTTTAATCTTGTCCCTGTGGCCTTAATTATAAAGGTGAACTGATGAGAATAGATATCATTTTTCCCCTTTTGTTCTTAAAGGGAAGAGTTTCCAAGCTCATAGCTCAGTAGGATGTTTGCTACTTTTTAAAGAATGAATGCCTTTCGTCAGACTGACGTGTTTCATGTCTAGCCCCACTTTTAAAAGATATTGAAATCAAAAGTGAAAATTGAACTTTATCAAATAATTTTCAGCATTGATTTAAGAGAATCACATGATTTCCCCCTTTAACTTGTTAATAGAAAGAGAACATTTTTTTTTCTGCTGTGAGGTGTCATCTGTCACAGGTGTCAAAAATATAGTTGGAAAAAGACAGAATTTTACACTTTCATGCCAGAAGTTTTTTTCTGGGCATTTTGGAAAATTGTGTTATTCTGCATCTAGAGAGGGTCTGTCCTCCAACCCAGGCACGTGGAATAACCTAAGGAGATTTGAAATCTGAGAATTGTGGTAATAAGAGTAACTTTGCTTGTGGCTAATTTTACTGTGGGTAATTTTTGGACCATTGTTCATAGCTGTGTCTCTATTTTGCTCTGTTGCTCCTTCAGAGTAGATCTTCCTTAAACTTCACTCATGTGTAGAGTGAGTGAGTGTGTGTGTGTGTGTGTGTGTGTTTGCGCATGTGCTGTGGTACTGAGGAGAATACTATGCCTATACCACCCAGACCAAAGAACTCAAACTTTCTAGGGTTGAACTCACACACCAGTATTAAAAAAACAAAGAAAACCAAAAAAAAAAAAAAAAACAAAAAAAAAAGTGTCCCCAGGAAATTGCAATGTGCTGTTGAAAAAGCTGCAAAACGCTCAGAAATACTAATCTATCTCCCACTGGATCTAAAACTTCAACGTGTGTGTTTAACAGTTACCAAAGTGCACATCCTTACAAAGTGAAATAGCAAGATTCAGCAGGGTGCAGATGAGATCTGGGAGGATAAATAAAAGGCCAGCAGGTGAAGGAAGAGGACAGAAACAAAGACAGAGGCGCAAGGACAGCAAATCTACTCACTCAATTTTGTCCGAAGATTCGCTTTGGGTCATGTACACGCAATTGACCACAATAGTGACTGTAATAAACAAGCTGAACCATCTGAGAGGCACAGGTTAAGGAAAAGCTGAAAGTCCAGATCTCTCCGGCCTTAAGTAGGATCGTCTAGATGTTGAGAGATTAAAGTGGTGCTCGGAGAGAGAATATTCTCACTCATTAACACTCTGTGAGCACCACCGGGGTTGGGCACTTTGTACCAACTGTTTTCTAGTTGGGGTATGATGCTCTACAAAGGGGAATTGGGAAATGGGCCGCTGGGGCTGAAGTAATTTTCCCAAGATCTTACATCTGGTTCAGCCTGGTGCTGAGAGGAGGACTCAGATCTCTTTTATACCAGATTCCTAGGAAAATAGAATACCTTCTCCAAAATTTCCTTCTGCCCCAATGCATCCATCTCACTGTGCAATGTGGGTTGTCATTTCAGCTGGCACACCGCTCCTCTGTTCTAACAAAGAGAAGCTAGGTAGTTAGAGACACATGGAAGAGTGGCTCATGGGAATGACTAGTTCAATAGCTTGAGGTCAAAGACACTGGGGGAATGGGCCTTAGGACTGGTGGAGGCAGGCACAGAGCAGTGCCTGCAATGCTGGCTGTGGAGGAAAATATGGATCAGGCTGGCATGGAGATTCCTGAAGAGCCAATGAGGAGGCAGGAGCAGGGGACAGGCTGAGGCATTATCAGAAGGGAAAGGAGCGTGAGTGGAAGGGTCACCGGGGTTGGGAGAAGCACAGGTGGATACCACTCTTCACTTGGCCACTTGTCCTCTGGCCAAGCTGGGCTCCTGGCAATGCTTCCTAAGGAAAAACAAAGCCTCTGCTTGTGCTCCAGCCACAGACCACACACAGCCCTCGTCTCTGTCCTGACCTCCGTGGGGGCCAAAGAGTGTGCATGGTTCTTTCAGGCCTCTGCAAATGCCTCCAGGGAGCATTGTTTCGTGGTTGCTTGGGAACACATGCACTCTGAAAAGGGATCTGCTGTTTGCATCAGGAAATGTGTTCACACAGGGAGAAGCATCTACCCAAGCAGTCAAAAGCCTACTGCTAATTCTATATAGGCCTTCGAAGTTCTATGCTGTCTTACGTGTAGTGCTACTTACAGAACACATCAAAAGTCACTGCAATAATCACTCAGGGGGAAACAGTTGTACTTGCTCTCTGAAAATTCTCTATTGCAAATAGGTGCCTTTGAATGATCAAACCTGTCAGTTTCCAACATGTACTTGCTACCCAGCTGCAGCTCCAGCAAGGAATTATTTACTCATCGAGTCTCATATTAAAGAATATTCACTGGCCTCTTGCTTCTTTTAAAAGGATATTATCCCTAATTAGCTGTTTCTTACTTATCTGGATGTAATTCAACCAGGATCCACAGAAAGCTGGTTTGCCAGTTCTCTTTATTGTTAATATCTGGGTAATGGTATACATATTTTTTAGAAAGCAGTAACTGTCCTAGAAGAGGTGGCACATTGAGAGAATAATTACCCTAACTCATTTCCATTCATGATCAATTTCCTCTTCATAGTCATTGCTTTTAACAGGATATAGCCTGGACCTCCTAACCAGCCCCGTGATGTTGCACAGTTGACTGATGCATTGAGGGTCAGTTTCATTATCTGTGAAATGGGATGTATACCCTGTATCAGCACTGACACTTAGCAAATATTTCGCCAATGAGAGGCTGGTATTGTCACTAAGTATCCTCCCATATAGTCTGGAAACCCAGGAGTCAAATCAGAAAATGTAGCTCCTCCTGGTGAGCCATAAAGGCAGAAAAAGCACAATACAATCTGAGTAAGCAATGTGGCTGGTCCAGTAGTAACTGTCCAAGAACTCAACAAGCCACTCCAGAGGGCACAGGCTGGGGAGAGCGCCTGCCAAGAGAGGCTGGCAAAGAGGGCAATCTTGCGTGTACACCTCAACCCCTGGAAGCCAGAGCTGAATTTGTCAGTAGGAACTTCCAGTGTGGTCATTCACCAGGGAAGAACCTTAGAAGCTAAGCCCTAGTTCTTTTCTTTCCCAAATACCCCAGCTGGCCTTGAAAAAAACAACTGCAGTAGGATTTGTTGCTACCTCACACAATTAATGCAACATAGACATTTATTCACATATCATTACATTCCTCTACAGCAGAAACCCAGATCTCCTTGCATTCTAACCTGCTAGCAGTTTTTGGAGTAAGCTGGGATGATGGCAGAGCTTGGAGCCCAATGAGACCCTAATAGAGCAGTCTGCTTGCCTGCTGTGGTCTGTTCTGGTTGCTCTGTGGAGGCCTCTGTCTTTGGCCCAGTAAGCAGTGCCTCTCCAGCTCAACTTGGGCCTCCTGTCTTATCCGGGGCAGGAAGCGTGCCTGTTAGAGGAACTGTGAGCACTCCCTTGCTAGGCTGTGTCTTCTGCTGGTGAGCACAAGAACCAGGGCTGGGGGTGGGCCAAGATAGACCAGGCACAAGTGAGGACTGGGTTTGGGGGCAGGGTGGGCTCACCTAAGCTGCAGCACCCATGGGTGTGTGCAACAGCCGGATGGGATATGGGCTGGGTTGGTCTGGACTACAGCAGAGGCCGGCACGTGCTAAAAGCAGGGCTGGAATTGCACCTGGAGCTTGGCTTGGTGGAAGTTATTGAGGTTGCCCCGACTAAGCTGCAGCACCCTCCAGCACCCTCCAGACTGTGTCTGGGGCTGGCTGGCCTGGGCTGGGTTGTGGTACCTGTTAGTTCATCTGAGGCAGAACTAACCAGTCAGTTGCATCCACGGGTATGTGCATCAGCTGGTACAGGTGACAGACAGCACCTGATCTTGCACTGGGCTGACACACGTAAGAGTCAAGTCAGAGGTCACAGCAGACGAGGTTTCTTAGGGGATTCCCCAGCTGGATGGCTGGACTCAGACCCTGGCCACAGGGAAAATCACAGAATGTGTAGTCTGACCTTGGAGTGATTTATGGGGAGTGGGCCTCCCTCAGTTGCTAATGCCTGCACAGTGGACAACATGCCCAAATGCATACATGGGACCAGCAGGGAACAACGACTGCCTCATCAGAGGATGAAGAGCAAATAGGTTGCACAATTCTCCTGGCCAAGCTTTCAGCATATTCCTGGATCTGTGGATGCACTAAGGTGAACCTCGTCAATCAGTAGACCCTGGAAAGATTTTTTTCAGCTCTGCAGCAATGAAACCAACAAATTCTCAGAGCTATCAAAACCACTCAGGTAACATCCCCAGAGCACTCTTCCCTACATCCGGGTCATTTAGGTGTCATCAAATGACCGTCCCCCATCCCCAGGGTGCTAATATAGTTTGACAGAAAGGAGCAGTCTTCTTCCCTTCCTCCCCATGGGCAAAAGAGAGGAAAAAAATGACTGTCCCCCTTACCCCAGGTGCTAATGTTGTTTGAGAATAAGACACAGCACTCATCTCCTACCCATGGACAAAGAAAAAAGTTGCAACATTTCTCCGACCTACTTTCTTCCATACCTGACCCTCCCTGCCCTAATCAGAGGTCCACATGGGTGTGTACCTCTCTCAATCATGTAAACTATTAAAAAGAAAATAAAAAATTAAAAAGAGGACTTTTCTCCATGTCCATAACTGTGTCCGAGTCCAAAATGGACCTAACTTGCAGGAGACACCAACTCTTCCTATGCATCTGGGACAGCCTTGGGGATGTTGGACACATCGAGTTCACAGACAGCTTTTGTATTCTGGAAGCTTCCATCACTGACCTCTGAGGGGAGTGCTGGGTGCGGTGGGCCAGGCTGACACCAACATGCGCAACAAGCAAGTGAGCAAAGGATACGAGTGGACAGACAGTTTGATGGCCATCCTTCTGATCAGGTTGAAGGGGCTGAACAGCCACAGGGCCCGAGTGGCACTGAAGCGGGAGATGGTCCTTCCTTTGTTCAGCACCATAAATGTCTACAATGAAGCAAAAAAACAAAACAAAACAAAACAACAAAAAAGACAGGACATCAGCCTTCAGGGCCAAACAGGAATGCTTACGCAGCCAGGCTTTGGGGACCATGGAAATACACAGTGTTGTAAGGGAATTCTGTGTTGCATCGGCTCTGCCCCAGCACCATTCAGGTCTCTGGCTGACTGTGCACTGGGCAGGTTCCTTGGCAGTGCTTGCAGGACAAGAGGCAGACAGCAAGCTTGGGAAGATGCACCCCACCCAGTGGAGGAGTCCTGGGATGCTTCTTCCTTCTAATTCTGTTCTGTTTTCATCCTTTGAGCACTGAGGAGGGTGGAGGCTCTCGGCAGGAAAGAGAAGAGAGACAAAACATCCCAGTGTCTTTTTAAATTTTCTCTACAAAACGCAGTTATGACGTCGCAATGCTGCCCCTCCCAACTTCCAGATTTGAGTCCTCCACTGGGTGGTTGTGTGTGACTTTTAAGGCTGACTGCACACAGCCTGACAGTCAAGGACAGCTCTTATGAAAGCAAGGGGGTTTCAAACTTTAGATTTTGTTTTTAAAAAAGTGTTACAACAATCACTGACAATATCAAGGGGCTTTTGTTTGTGTCTGCACCTTTTGGTTTGGTGTGTGTGACGTGAGAAATTTAAAACTGAAGATATTTATTATGCAGGCATGTGCAGGTCACCTTGCAGCAGTCGTTAGAGGAGGAACTTACCCTCAGATTGGTGGCCTCCGTGTGCACTGTTGAATGCTCTCCATAGAATGGGAGTTAAAAAGACAGATGGCCTCAGAATGGGAGTATGAACTTATTTTGACCTCATGAACCCACTACAAGTTTTGCAAACTCCTGGGTCATTCCTCATTGAGGACCACTGGCCTTCTATTTCTGCTCTCTCTTGCCCACATCCTGTGAGACTCCAGTGCTCTGTTTGCCACCTGCTACAACAGCTAACACCTCCAGAGACCCCAGCTAGAGCTCATGCAGGGAGATAGCCAGTTTTTCCTGAAATTCTGCAGCTCTTGTCTACTTTTGTGAATTTGGGTTTTAACTAGCTTGTCTTACAAATGTCATTTGGGAGTCTAAAGGAGTATCCGAGTGAGAAGATCTGTTTTAAGGTGACTGACTGAGTCTCTAGCAGGCTGCCACATCCTCCCGGGCTCAGGGGAACACCTCCTAGAGCCCAGGGGCCCGCATTCCTGCTTGTCACTCTTACCCGGTGTGTGCTGTAGAAGGGGTCCAGGTCCTCCAGTGGCTCCCCGATCAACTCTGCAGGGAGCTCGCCATAGAACTTAGGCAGCTGGTTACAGGCCTTCAGGTCTAGCTGAGGCCGGAGCTTCTCTTCTTCTTGGTCCTTCTGCTTCCTGTGCTTGTCTCGGACTTTCTTTGCTGCCTTCTTAGAGGTGATTTGCTTCTCAATCTCTGCCAGTGATGCTGGAGTGAACCGACGGAAGTTGGTGGTTTCCAGGGACCCAAAGGGGAATTCCATCTTCTCATTCTTCTCCAGGGGGAGTGTATACCCTTAGAAGAGTGGACAGACCAGAGAGAGGCAACATCTTGCCCTCCAAACCTCTCCTTCCCCTGCAACTACCACCCTCCCAGTCCTAGAGCGGTTTCTACTCTACAGCTGATCATCTCCAGATCCTTCTGAGGATCCCACCCCTTGCAGTGCTCATCCCTTCCTATTCCAGGCAGCCTGGGCATGAGTCTTTGCACTCCTAAACCATGAGATTTTCACTGCTCTGTGTAGGTCATCTAGAGTCTCTGAACTCTATTCTGCCCTACTGACCCCCTCTCCTGCTTGCCAGAACCACTCCAGGCACTTTCCAAGTTCATCAAAGACTCCCACTTGCCATTTATCCTATCAGACTTTTCATCCTACTTTCTGACCATGATCTTTTATTTATTCACCTTTGCAATGTCTCCACCTCTCTCTGAACTTCATTCCAACCTCCTGATTACTTCCTCTTTGGCAGAACACTTCTCTCTTGAAGCAGCTCAGACCTACGGTTGGCTCCATTATTGCCGGCATTCCAACCGCACATCTCAAGTTCAAGCCAACCTGGGGCTCCAATTCAGGTTCCTCTGTATTTGGAGCCCCGAGGTGATGCAGGGCTGCAGAGTCACATGAGTTCTGAAGTTGTCAGCTTCTTCTAGTCTGAGATTTCAAGATTTCCTGCCTTATCTTGCAGGGATCCCATGCCCACACTTTACCATTCGTGGAGGAAGTCAGAACGCTCTCAGTTTCATGTCCGCAAACCTCTAACTCACCTGCCCTTGAACCCTGCTTTCCACCTTCCCTCTGTCCAGCCGGGGCTGTGCCAGCCTTCATTCTGGGTTGCACTAATCCTTTCCCTGTGTTTAGGATGTTGTTTGCTTGCTATTTCTTTTTTCTCCTTATTCTGATCCCCTAGCTCTTCCTGTCATCTGGACACATAGTCCATCCAGCCCTTCCCTTGTTCCTCTTTCACTCATGGCCTCCAGCCCTTGTTGTGTGACTTCACTGCCCACACTCATTATCATAGTGCCCTGCTTGGACCCCAGCGATCTGCTTGTGACTGTATTCAGGAACCCTTCTCAATTCTTGGTGATCTTGTTGGTTATTTTTGACCACTTTCTCCTGGGTTATGTTTTTTTGTTAGTTTGGTTTCCTGACTTTCTGTTTGCCCCTTCTCAATTTCATTTTACACACATGATTGCGAATCAGGTGGCTGTATGCTATGACCCATTTGTTCTTCAATAGTAACAAAAGTAATAAATGCTATTGCACGTGTCATGGCTGGCATTTACTGAGACTCCATTATGTTTCAGACTCGGGATGAAGCAATTTGCATGCATTATAGCATCAACTATCCTGTACCTTGTCAAGTAGTATGTCCAGTATGCAAATGAGAAGCCAGAACAACACAGTTAAACCTTCCAAAATCCCATTCCAGTGAGTGGTGCGATGGGCACTTGAACTCAAGTCTGTCTGACTAACAGTCTCTTGGAAGCATCTTGTCTCCCCTGCATCTTCAACTCTCGTCTCTCTGAATATAACTTATGATTCTTCCTCTCTAACTCTTATGTATTCTCAGGTCCCTGACCTGAATTTGTCTGTGGAATCTATCAAACTTCATAAAAATAAACAAAATCCAGTGACTTTTAAAGTTAGCACACCATAAGTAAAGCAGATAGTGTCAGAGGCAGCGCTTGGATTCAATGTCCCTGTAACAAGACCTTGCTTGCTGTCACCTGTTTTAGAGATTGGTGTTACACTCAGTATCTGTTTGACACCTTATTTGCTGTGACAAGACCAGACTGTAGTCCTGGGAGAAGCCCTTGCACCTCTGTCACCACTCCTTTCCTGTAATGCTTCCCTTGATTGTCTCTTGGAATTCTTAGAAAATTCTTCAAAGTCAATCTGTATTCTAGAATTTAATAGCCGTGCCCTATTTCCTTCTGCCCTAGAGGTTCTTCATGCTGTATGCCCACATCCTAATTTACATGGTATATCTATGCAATGGTCACTCAACCACTACTTATTGGGTGAATATGATCAGTGTCTTTATTCTCCCTCTTCGGGTAATACACATTGGGAATGTTTAATTCTGGGTGTATTTGAATGTCTCTTGTGAAGTGGATGTTTCAGGCCAATGTGTTATAAGGTTAGGCCGATGATTGCTTCTTGGATTGATGACTGGTGAAGAGCTAATCCAAGAGACATTTATGCCCTTCAGCCAGAGCCCAGTGTGAGTCTTTGCAGGCATATTCCTTCAAGGCTGATCCTGCTAAGCAAACCCCGTTTGGTGACTCTTCAGCTCTCTCAATAAGCCCATTTGATGCTTTCTCACTAACAGGTGAGAAAGGACCTTTCTCTACGGCTCTCCTTTAAAGATCCTGTCTCCCAGATTCTGTGGGAAAAATTAAACTTCCTCATTACTAATCTTAGTGATAGGCAGAACAAATTACAGGGACAATGCCTTATTTTCTGCTTTGGGGTTTGGGTTTGGCTCCAACTCTCGAGGGCCAACCAAGGTCTTCAGAAACTCCTCTTACATGCAGCCTCTGTCACTCACAGTAAGTCATCCATCGTAGAACTATATATTCTAATCCCTCAAAGAGGAGTTTCTACCCCTGCATTTTCCCTAACGTGTTTTGTACAATTTTAGAGCACTATTACAAGTATTTTGTGGGCAAAACCATGCTGGTAGAATCTCCCCATGAAAATGGATTTGCTAGAAGTATGAAGGACAGAGTACGGTTTATTGCTCTTGTACAGTGTAATGGCACACTTTAAGGGAAGGGCAGCCAGGGGCTGGCACAGTGGCTCAATTGGCCCATCATCTGTCTGAAAGCAGCAGTATCCCATATGGATGCTGGTTTGAGTGCCGGCTGCTCCACTTCTAATCCGGTTCCCTGCTTATAATCTGGGAAAGCAGTGGAGAATGGCCCAAAGCTTTGGGACTCAGCACCTGTGCAAGAGACCTATAAGAGGCGCCTGGCTTCAGATCAGTTTAGCTCTGCCCGCTGTGGCCATTTGGAGTGAGAATCACCAGATGGAAGATCTTTCTGTGTCCCCTTCTCTCTGTAAATCTGGATTTTCAATTAAAAAAAATAATGTAAATGTTAACAAAAGAGGGGTTAGACATTCCCAAAGAGCAGAGAGGCAGAGAAGAGAGCCAGCTCTTTGAATTTCCTGGTTTCTTTGGCCCATCTGAGTGTGAGCATTTGACTAATACACCACAGATAGAAGCATAGCTGTAGTTTTTGTCATTATTGTTGTTCTTAATAAAATAAATGATTGAATCATCCTGATTGGTTATTTCTTCTGCTAATATGTATGTTATCTTTATAGAATCACATGAATAAGATTTTACCTGTTCAGGCGGCTAACCTGTGACCCCAATTTGGCTGTTTATTTCTGTCTAAGTGTACCTGACATCCGTTGGGAACCCATGGTGATGTAGCAGTGTATGTTGACTTAATGTGTTACCAGTTCCTTAACTTGACAAAAAAAAAAAAAATCCTTGCTAACATCTGTTCTCTGGAGCTGGTCTACCTTGGTCTCAGCAAACCCTGTGAGGCACTCAGATGGTTCTTGAGCGTTTCCTTGGGTTGCGTGCTTTCATGAAGCCTGGCAGCCCTGAGCTTAAGAAAGAGTGTCTTGCCAGCACAGCTTGCTGAGAATCACCTATCTGTGTGCATTCCTCTCTGCTACCTCTCGGGAAGTTGTACAAAGGCCCTACAGTGAGCACCTTTCCTCTTTGATATCTGCAGCAATCACTGGCTCTGGGGGCAGTTGTCCCACCTTCTCTGATACTGTAATCTTACAATGCCAGCCCACGGCCTGATACAGGGCAGGCTGCATCACATTACATGGGGTTAGAGGCAGATTCCTGAACTCAAATGTTCATAAGTAAGACCGAGGTCAGGCCCAGGATTCTACATTACTTCACTGGCCCTTTGAGAAACCCTGAAAAGTTCTGTCACTGTACGTATAAGATGGAGTACAGGTCAGGGTACAGGATCTGATGCAGCCAAGATCCACGACTTATTTCCATGGCTCTAGAGCATGGGTGACCTATCCTCTTAAATTCTCTTAGCAAGGTCAGAACCTAGGTTGGGGAGTATTATAAAAGAGCTTGCCACTAAGGCACAGGTGTTCTTGTGTTACTCTTCTACCAAATTCTGCCTCCTTGGGGCTCCTCCGAAGCAGGCCCCGGGACTTGCTTTCTTCTGTTGGCAGAATCAGGGCACCTGCTGACCAGAAACATCAAAAAGCTTACACTTAGAGAAAAGGAATAGGAAAGCATGATTTTGGTCCTGAGGATCACAGTTCTGTAGATATTTACTCTATGTGAAAGATATGTGGGCTGCAAGAAGACCCACTGGGACTCGACTCTAGAAGCTCTTTAATGTGGATTTCTGAGTCCAGAGCAGCTGTGGTTGGTGTCAGTCTTTAGAAGGTCCAGCAGACTTGAAGGATGTGGGTGTGAATAAGGGTATGAATGTGTGTTCCCTGGGCAGTTATTTCTGTTAGCCTCTGTGTATTAGGTATAAAGGTGTTTCTCTGGCTGTCTGGATTCCAAACTCTGCTCACTCCTATCAGTGCACTGAATCAAGTCCCACTTGACCATACAGTTGACCAAACTCCAGGAAAAATGGTCCCATTTCCAATCAAAGCAACATTTCCAGGGCCTCACTCATGTATAGTGGATTTACTTCTGCCTGATTGTTCCTTCTACTCCCCACAAAAATCCAAATCCTTTTATTAAGTAGAAGGTGTTCTCTTAGGTGTCAGGAAACAGGACCAGTGAGGATCTGGCTTGGCATATGTTCAGATAATGGTGTAAACAAGCTTGTCTCTGAATCTCTGGTTTCCAGACTAAGTGTTCTCCCATCCCTGGCATGGGTCTGGCTGCTGGAGAAGTTCTGGAATCCTACTGATGGGATGTTATTGGAACATATTGGGACTTGAGAGAGTGCTGTGAATGTGTTTGGAGCTGG